TGTATGAATAACATAACTTACTTTAGTTCCTTGACTGGTATCAGGTCATATTGGGTATTGGCATGTATTAAAAACCAATCAATCAATCAATCAACTTTATTTGTATGGCGCCAAAGTATCGACATATGTTGTGGACATGAAAAAGCTGTGTTGGTTACACACATTATACTACAAATCACTGTAATACAACAAAGAACTTATAATATAACATTTCCATACTCTTAATTATCTACAACAGAATGGCTTATGAAGAATGTTTATAGCTGTAAATGTTGTTCGCTTCCCTGACCTGTGACATGTCCATTGTTTGAAATGATGACTGGGAAGGTGAACTGACTTTAAGAGCTTGAGGCCATCCAGCAGCCCGAGCTGACTTCCTGCTAAGTGGATGTTGACTACTGACTATGTTTAAAGGGACACTGTTGCACACTGTTCATGTGTACAACTGAGTTTTAAACCAAAGTTTCAAGATACACTATATTTTGGGATATCAATTTCTTTGATTATGCAATGACCTCTGAGCTACAAAGTGGACGGGCTCAGAGCTCTGGATGTAAAATCCCAATAGGAGTTTTGAAAAATACAAATATCAAGACACAACCAAGGCATTTGTGCTACCTTGTACTATCCCCAGCACAGTGTTCTCAGCCAAAATGAACACCTTTAAAACATACATTTTGCAATGTTTAAATAACACATGTTATACAATAAAAGTACAGCTGTCTCACATGCTGATAATATGTACAGTAGTTAAATCACTGCGAACATTTAGATGTAAATAAATGTGTACTTTGTTGTCCTGTAGGGAAATTTGTCCTTTGCATTTGACCCATCCTAATGCCATAAGGCTTTCGTCAGGAGCAGAGGTCGCCGTAGTACAGCGTAAGGTCTAATGACTTATTTCTCTTATATTCTTGCACTAGAGTTTACAGTTTTTCTCAGTTGCTTTGTTGCATTTCTCACATCAGACTTAAAGTTCTCAAAACTATTAGTTCAACTTCCACAACATTGAGTCATTGGTGCACATCATCGTAGCAAATACTTTTGGACGGATGTAACAGTTACTTTCATACAATTTTCTGCTGTTTTATAACATTATCATTTGCTTCTGTCCTGTCAGTCAAAATGAAACATACTTATGACTTCAGAATAGTCTTTCCCTATAAAAACAATAGTCCTCATTTCATCGCTTGAGTCATCACATACAAAATTGTTGAACTAGTTCAAAATCAAAATCTGTCAATTTCATACATTCCTTTATCTTTTTTTTCCTGAAAATCTTTCCAAAATTGAGCATTTTTTCTCAGGTGAATTTCAGCTTCACTCATGACGAGGTGTGTGTTTTATTGTTTACATTTGTCACAGTTTTGCCATAATGCTTTTTCTTGTATGTTTGTGCTACGTAAATACTGTAACTGACTGTATTTTAGTTGCACAATACTGTATACAGTTTTTTCACTTTACTCTTAGTTTTAGTTCAAACAAACTTTCAAAAGAAGATAAACTATGATAAGAGCACATGTATTTGTCACACAGAGAGGAAGAAGTAGTAGTAAGTAAGTAGTAAGAGCACACAAGGAATACACAAAATTCACAGAGATAAGTCCATGTTTCTTAACCCTTTAATGGCTTCCTCAACCATTTGGTGGATCACCTTTTGACTCGCTCTATCTGCTTCTGAAACTGAAATCTACCCCATTGGGGCGTGTGTATCACTTGGTTTTATGCACCTTTACCATCAAACTGCATCTGAACCATTTGGTAAAGGCCTATAATTAATAAAGCTAGGGTATAATTTTTTTTAAATTAGTACTTCTACATCTTAGATAATCAAAGAAAAATACATTGCTTTCTTCAAGAGGTGAACATTAAAGGGTTAACTAAAGATAGATACTTCATTGATCCCCAAAGGAGAAATTCAGGTGTCCAGTAGCAGCAAAAACACATCCATCCACACACAAAAAACCAAATAAATTGATCATTCTAAAAAGCTAACAATAGTAATAATATGAAACAGCACTTCAGGCCGTGCAGCCCCTGGGCAGAGCAGGACGGGCCACAGCAGCAGAGATGGTGGATGGCTCTGGGTGGAGCAGAGCAGTATATATATATATATATATATATATACATATATATACATATGTATATATATATATATATATATATATATATATATATATATATATATATATATATATATATATATACAGTGGGGTAAAAAAGTATTTAGTCAGCCACCGATTGTGCAAGTTCTCCCACTTAAAATAATGACAGAGGTCTGTAATTTTCATCATAGGTACACTTCAACTGTGAGAGACAGAATGTGAAAAATATATCCAGGAATTCACATTGAAGGAATTTAAAAGAATTTTTTTGTAAATTATGGTGGAAAATGAGTATTTGGTCAAATAACACAAATTCAAGTCAATCGAAGGAGGTTTTGGCTCAAAATCTCACGATACATGGCCCCATTCATTCTTTCCTTAACACGGATCAGTCGTCTTGTCCCCTCAGCAGTAAAAAAACTCAGTATTCTTCTTCCTCCAAACACGACGAGTTGAGTTTATACCAAAAAGTTCTACTTTGGTTTCATCTGACCACATGACATTCTCCCAATCCTCTGCTGTATCATGTGCTCTCTGGCAAACTTCAGACGGGCCTGGACATGCACTGGCCTCAGCAGGGGGACACGTCTGGCACTGCAGGATTTGATTCCCTGTCGTCGTAGTGTTTTACTGATGGTAACCTTTGTTACTTTGGTCCCAGCTCTCTGCAGGTCATACACCAGGTCCCCCCGTGTGGTTCTGGGATTTTTGATCACCGTTCTCATGATCATTTTGACCCCACGGAATGAGATCTTGCGTGGAGCCCCAGATCGAGTGAGATTATCAGTGGTTGAAATATCGTTTTGGGCTACATTTGGGCTATCTTTTATACAGATAATGAGTTCAAACAGGTGCCATTAATACAGGTAACGAGTGGAGGACAGAAGAGCTTCTTAAAGAAGAAGTTACAGGTCTGTGAGAGCCAGAGATCTTCCTTGTTTGAAGTGACCAAATACTTATTTTCCACCATAATTTACAAATAAATTCTTTAAAAATCCTACAATGTGAATTCCTGGATTTTTTTTTCTCATTCTGTCTCTCACAGTTGAAGTGTACCTATTATGAAAATTACAGACCTCTGTCATTATTTTAAGTGGGATAACTTCCACAATCGGTGGCTGACTAAATACTTTTTTGCCCCACTGGATATATATATATATATATTGAAGTGGTACAGTTCTACAAATACCTGGGAGTCCACCTGGACCACAAACACAAATATATATATATATATATATATATAGGAAGGAGCAGCGTGCGCTTTATCCAACACTTTGAAAGCAAGACCTTTAAACATCTTCATGATTTTCATTTCAGAAAAGTGTTTGCATGAAATACATGAATTAAGAAAATCAATGAAACAAGTCACAATACAATCTCTACAAAGTATCCTCTTTTATATATTATCTCAGAATAGAAATATTAATATTTGTTTCCTCTAAGGTATAATAGCTCTCTTCACAATTCACACTGCAGACCTTTCACACCACTGTTGTGGCAGATGAAGAGATGGGGTAATCATAGTATCGAGGGCTGTTGTCTCAGACTGGAGCGAGAGAAATGGTCTGATCCTTAATGCATCCAAGACCAAGGAGATGATCACAGACATTATTCCCATCAACCAGTCACAACAAATGAACAGGACGTTGAAGTGGTACAGTTCTGCAAATACCTGGGAGTCCACCTGGACCACAAACGGGACTGGTCTGCTCTGATCTGGCCAGATCAGAGCTCTTCTTCTTCCCGAGGAGGCTGAGGTCTTTTGATGTGAGCATTCAGATGTTGCTGCATAAAAAGATGATATATGTTGATATATATGATACACATTTGATCGGTCTGTTGTAGACAGTGCCGTGTTCTTTGGGGTTGTGTGTTTGGGCGGCACTCTGACCTCGAGAGACAGTAACCAGCTCCACAGACTGATTAGGAAATGTGTGTCTGTGATGGGGAGAAGTGGGGACTCTGTGGGAGCTGTTGCTCTCGTGCAGGGCATCCTGACTGCATTTTATTACAACTGTTTGATACTTTTATTGTTATATTTATTGATGTTTGTATGATGTGTATGTGTTTCTGTTGCAGGATACCTGAATTTCTTCTACCGTGTATCAATATAAAGTATCTATCTGATCTTTTCTGTTCGTGTTGAGTAAATTGTCATTTCCCCTTTCAGCCTTGTGGTTTTTTTTGGTTTTTACAGAAGACTTCAGGGAGCATGTGTTTTGCAGACCACACTTCTCCAGTTTCTGTTATAGACTGAATCCTTTTTTCACTATCCACCAAACAGTGTTTGCATCAACTCTAACAGCCAAATACATTGTTTGTTTGCATTTGGAACATGAATAATATACCAACCACTGTTGCAATCAGTTTTATTATATTATTATTTAAATAGACAAAGATACAAAACAATTAAAGTATCAACAAATGTATTTTGGTGAATTGATACATATATTGTACAGTATATAGACTAGCTCATACATATACAAACCTAAAATGATTAGTCTATGAAACTATACAAGAAAAAAAAAATCACATTTTGGGATACAAATATAGCTTCAGAATATGTGCATATATTGTATATACATTGTATATATAAACTGAAATCACTTCATCCTTCCATAATCAATGAAAATACAAGTAGCTCAAAAAACTTTGCCTGTTCAGTTATAGACAGTTCTTGTATTTTTTTTCACCTGAAGAGTGAAAGGAGAAGTACGACCTCCTTTGTACGGAACAACACAGCAGCCGCAGGCAGCCTCCAAGACGACACAAACCAAACCTATAAATCTCAAGTCAACTTTGAATTAGGTCCCTGTTAATGTAATACTAGGTTACATACTGTAAGTCTGAACCTGCTTTTGTCTAACTGTTGTTACTGTACAACTTTGAACAAACTTATTCTTCTGCTCGTAGTGTTGCTCGAAGGTGACACCGTTTATGTTTCATTGTCAGTCCATATTCTGGGGTCATGTCCAGGATCTCTCCAGGAAGTTTATGGAAGTGAAAGCTCTGGATGAGAATCGCCAGGAAGAGAAAAACTTCATTTCTTGCTATGACCTCCCCAATGCAGCGCCTTTTACCCAGACCAAAAGCCAGGACTTTCTCCCCATCCACCTTGTTGACTTCCGTGCCCTCGCTGTTCAGGAAACGTTCTGGGTTGAATGTGGAAGGATCGTTCCAGAGATTTCTGAAAACAAGTCCAAAATACTGTAAATGTTATGTTTTTCTTCTTTCAAAAAAGTGTTGGAAATTTCATGGTTGGTAATGAACTGTGAAAGACACAAAGAGACTTACGGATCATGATTAATCTGCCACTGGTTGATAAAGACACATGTGTCTTTGGGAATGAAGTATCCATTTAGAGATGTGTTCTTAGTTGTGCTATAAGGATGCACAATATTGAAATAAGTAAAGCTACAAACACTTCAATTCCATTTGCCCATTTCAAAGACAAACTTACCAATGTGGGATAGTGAAGGGAAGGAACGACGAGTGCCGTAACACCTCCAGGATGAAAGCTTCAACATAGGGTAAGTTTACTTTATCTGACAAGCGTGGGAATCTGTCCTGTCCCACTGTATCCTCTGAAAATAATGTTAAACATACATTTGATTACAATCAGATCTGCCCCTTAGATTTTATTTCATCAATTCATTATTACAAATAATATTTCATACAGGCTGTTCAATTGTGAAATGCGTGTGTGTGTACTTACTTATTTCTCTGTGAAGTTTGTCCTGTATTTCTGGGTAAGTGACCATGTACATCACAGACCAGGACACAAAAGTGGATACTGTATCGAAACCTACAGAGCAAGACAGAGATATTGCTGTCCTTCATACACATATTTATGGTATTTTAACAAAGGTTATATGAACTTACCAGCTCCAAACAGGTCATTGACGATGCTTACAATCTTTTCATCAGACATCTGTATATTTGAGTTCTCGTCTAATTTCCGGTCCTCACAGTGATCAATGAGGGAGTCTGTAATGTCCCGAATGTTGTCCTTAAACAATTAGAACATGAAAAAAAAAATTATTTACTTCTCACACATATATTTGATTAGTGAGAAAGGAGCTCACCTTATCATAGGTAGCATAGTGTTCGGTGACAATCTTTTGGATAAAGTTAGTGAATCTGTCATTTATGCTCAGAAACTTCTTCATTGTTGAACTTGGAATATACTGAAGGATGGGGATGAAGTCTGCAGGATTTCCACTGCCAACCACCTGGCCAAACTCATCACTGAGATTCACCAAGCTGAGCAGTTCCTGGTCATCGTGATCATAGCGCCGGCCAAAGCACATTCCACAGATAACATTAGCTACAGAGACCACAATGTGGCGAAAAGGATCAAAACTACCATCTCTCTTCATGACAGAGTTGAGCTGCTTGATAAGGTAATGTCCCTCTTTGCAGACGTGTTCTTCCAACATGCACGAGTACTCTGGAGTTGTGCCCTCCAAGGTGGAGAAAGAACGCAGGGCACTGTAGGCCAGCTTTCTGCGAGCTCTCCACACCCCTGCTTGGTCTGTGCTGAAAGCCAAACTCTTGCCATCACTGATGAAGCGAAAACTATACAGGTCAGGTCTTCCAGCAAAATCATCCCCTTGCTTGACAAGAGCCTGCCGCACAGTCTCACTGCCGCTGAGCACAACCACGGGGCGCATGCCTATTTGGATCTGAAAGACATCTCCAAAGCGCTTACTCATTTCAGTGAGACTAAGGTAAGGCCTGCTACCCAATTCCAGCACATTACCAATTATTGGTAGTGATTTCGGACCCGGTAAAGGTTGCAGCCCCTCAGGAACTTCATTTTGAAATTTCTGTAAGATCAAAAAGACCAAGCAGACAGTTGCTATGGCAACAAGACCCTCAGAGACGGACACAGCTCCAATCAGTGGCAGTATCATTAGCGGCATGATGAAAGCTGCTACTCTTCAACCTGAGAATGAAAAAGGAGGAGCATGAGAAAGACAGAGAAGTTAATGTTATGCAATAACTTGTTGACAACATTTAGCTGTGTTTGAATACTAACTGTTTGTTTGTTTTTTTTATCACAGAGCTTAATGCATTTCTACAAAACATCATAAGCAACAATTAACACATGAATACAGAAACTATAATTGCACATGGAAATATTTTCAATAACACAAATAGCCATAGCATACAACTCAACAATAATTGAAACACTAATGTATGACTGCACTTAAGTGTGCACATACAATGTGGTCATTAATAGATATTTAATCTTACCTTGAAGAAAGTTGTGCGCTTCTCCTGAAATAGTATTGAGTAGAAGGACCATAGACGGACTTTACTCGCTTCATGTCCCTGCAGCAGAATGGACTCTGGTTTTATAGAGCGCTTCACATCTCCATTGGCTGCTATTGATGACGTAACCCTCTGCTCTCTCTCTAATGAATGAAGTTCGGTGTGTGAAGAGTAGGAGGCGTGCGTGCCTCCGTGTGTGATGTTGCGTGCAGGTTAAACATTTGTGATTTTAGATTTCACGCTAAAAAGTACAGGTGTTAATTTTGACGTTTTCTTTTGCTGATATACAACCCCGTATGCATTACTTATTTTACCCGCACTGGTTATAACACAAGACTACATAACATGCATTGATGGGAACATTTGAAATCAAATCGAAAGTAAGTTTAATTGGAAAACTTTTTTATTCGTAATTGTGCTTGTTTCTATAAAGTGAAACCATCCTGTTGCCAAAATACACATACTTATGGTAAAGCCATGTCTTGAGTTTTTGGATTGACTAATTTGCGACTTTAGAACGTAAGCAAAAGAGAGTAGTGACACAAGTGACCCCGCTTTCTGATAAAAAGAAAATGCCATTGCGTGCTTGTACCTGCAAGCCCTGCGCTGCAGTTAAACATTGACCAGTTGCGTGCGAGCAGAGCGAAGTGATCAGAGTCAAACTCTCACCTCCCTTTGAAGAGGATGCTGGGGAGGAGAGGAGGGGGCTGCCTGAGGGGCAGATGAGTTCAACGCAACGTTACCATTTACAACCATCTTTGTTAGAGTGCACTCACATATGATTTTCTGTTTCAACCTGTGTGCATTAATGACCAATGATAAAGATACATATCGTGTCAATGTATTACTTTTTAAGTGTTTATTTCTTCTTTTCTCGATACGGAGGAGGCAATTGGACAGAGCAGAGGTTATTCAGTTTAAATCCAAATATATTTTTCACATAACACCCCCCACATCTACAAACCCCAGAAAGCCAAAGCGGATCAGCTCGTGTGTTGGCCCTGTTGAATGCAGCCATGGGGATCTGCGCCTCATGCCACCGCGCTTTGGTGCGCTCCCTGGGGTTGTTCCGCGCGCTGCTCCACAGGTTGCGTGAGAAGCGGAGCTCCCTTCCAGAGGGGAGGGCCCTGGTCTTCTGGACAATCCTAAATCAGCTTGGTCAAGTCACGCGAAGGCAACAGCTTCTGGAAAAGACACAAGGGTCTTAAACTTTTAGAACAAAAGCGCAGGACGCGCGACTCTGTGTTTTTCTTGCATGGGCACGAAGGTGCACATTGCGCTCTATGTGCGGATCCTTAGGGCTTTGGAGTCATGCAATGTGCCACTCAGGTTTCATGCATTCAATCATGCAACTTGGGACGCTCAGAGAGCACAGACCGACGTACCATATTTAATGGTGATTTTACTCTCGCAAATGGCGTAGATCATTTAATAATTGGAAATGTTTAACTCACAAAAGACTATGCATGTATAAGTCTATTTTTCTTACGCTTCACAGATGCCTGACCATGTTCCATGCACAATACATACAATTAGGCCTGCATTCGGGCTTATGGATAGGCTATTTGAACAGTTAACGTGAGAGGGATATATATAGTTCTGTGGTTGACTTTCTCGCAAAGTTTAGACATTTGAGATAACAAATGATATTTAATTGTTTGCTCATCAGAAATGTAGACAGGCCCAACCAATATTGGAGACCCAACGGCGTATATCTTTTCTTCTCTTGCCCAGCTTCTGGTCTTGCGTGTGCCAAGTCGGGCAAACCTTAATAGGATTATTTTGAACTGCAGACTATGACACCTGCTGAATTATGCCTAATGCCCGACAAAATGTACAGGGTCTGAGTTTCTGTAATACGAGCAAGCAGTCCACTCCTCACAGTTCTCCATATTTCACATGACGGCCCAGAGAGCAGCCTATACCCTTTGGCAAGTTGACCGCAGTCTTCAGAGCTCGTTCGAATGTTTCTTATTGAATATATCTTCTGCAGGGATGGCGTGTCACCAATTTAGGGTATAGCATATATCAGAAAGCCCAGTAGCCTATCTAAAATGCGTGTCTAGGACATGCCAGAAGATACTAAAAGGTGACGCGCTCGTACGTTTCCCTCCATCACGCAACAGCAGAGAGCGCACGCACTGAGAAACCCACTGAAGAGGAGCGTGTCTTTCATGGGGCATGTGGAGCTCTTGGACGAGGGTAGGGGGTTAACATTGGATCACCTTTCCTTCGCTACCAGGCGTGTACACCAGATTAGTAACTGAGCCAATGGGCCTACAGTTTTTCCTTTCCTTTCCTTTCAGCCACACACGTCTCCTCGTTCTTTCACATGTCTAATACCCTCAACGATAACAATAGTTGCGTGCGGAAATATCTCAGCCATCCATCTTTCTGTCACCTCTTATTCAGCGGAGCACGGAGTAGAAATAGGCAAGGCCAAGCAACACAGCAGCCGGTGGCTTGCGTCGTGACCATGCAGCTTTGGGAGTAAAGTTACTCTATAACAGGGTCTCCAACCTGTGGCTTTGGAGCACCAGTATTTCACCCCCCTATTATTCCAATATGTTTATTACAATTAATCATTATTTGAAGGAAACGCGGTGGATTCACTTTTTGTTTCTGATCTGTTTCCACTTGACCCATAGTCTTTCTGCAGAATAGCCTATATATAGGATAGTGTAATCCTCATCATCATCAAGTATGATTGAATTACTATAAAAAGGAATGTATTCCCTTAATTAATGAACCTAATATAAATTAGCCAGCTATGGACCTGTTTTGAGGCTATGCAGTTATAATGGACCCATCGTATTGCATCCACCTTGGTCACTACTTGAGTGAATGGCTAAATTGGGGCCATGACCCCATTACATGTCTGGCCACAGATTGAAGCTGGCGCCATGGTCAAATGTGTGTTCACTCATCTCATGCAAGATGCAGTGATCATATTAGGCTAGCTGTCATGAAATTACTATAGTCTAGAATAATGACACTATACAAGTGCTTATCTTTCCCCCTCGCTGCCATTATATCAGTTGCCACTCAACTAACAGACCGCCTGCAATTAGTGAACACTGCATGCAAACAAATAGAAATGCTTTTAGGTCCCAGTCTGTTTGTTGGAGTTTGTTCTCAATGAAGAAATAGATCCAAGTTTCCCTTAATGTTCTTTGCCATGCAGTAGGTCTATACGTTTTAATTTCTTATTCAATTATGAAAATAATAATTTTACCCATGCACCCATGTTTGGGTTCCACTTGTAGTTTATGTATAGGCTCTATGGAAGGAATGGTTATAGTTTGAAATCTTGGAGTGGCTATAGGCCCATATTTATCAGTATAGAGAGTTTAGACATGTATAGTCCCAAGTCACACGTGTTTCCAAAACGATTGTTATTTGTTGGCTATGTATATGTAAAATAACTGAAAACACATGAATGTCAAGTCATGCATGGAATAATGTAACCTCTGCCCCCACACATGAACAGTGCGCTCAATGTGCACATAACACACATGGGCCGAAGCCCTATTCTTTTTGCAGTACAAACCAACCGCCGTCTGCGAGCCAATCAGAAGAGCAGACGAGGTTTTCTGCACAGAGGGCTTACTCTGCTGTAATATCGTGGTCATCATTTATACAACAAACTTCTCGTCTCCGTCTTAACATTGATGTTGTTGTTTTAGAGGTATTTTATGTTGTACAAAAGAAGTGAAATGGTTGTGTTGAAGTTTACAAGTGTCCCAGTATCCGTTATGGATTCTTGAAGAGAGGGGCATCATTCACATAAACGATCTACGGGTTAATCATTGCAGATTGCGTGCAGACTCTGTTTGCTCGGACAGAGCCAAGGGTCGGGACGGGAGGTGATAGAGCTAAGGGAGGTATCGAGCACACTTTTCTGTCAAAACAATCATCAGTCTGTTTTAGACTGCACGCTACACTATAGAAATGTAGACTACAGTTCACGTGATAGTTCATATAATACGCTCTGTAACCTCCACGATTGTGTGACCGTGGCGCACATTCTGCGCCACCTTAAAAAAAGGTTTGGTGTTACAATTCATGCAGCACTGATGCTAGTGGTATTCAATGTATTTGTTTTTCTTTATTTTCCAAATACATAGTTTTTAATACAACTTTTATTTTAATATGAGTCAAGGGTTGTACACCGATGGGAAAGATCTTTGAATGGGCTTGATCTATATGAAGGTTTAATAAACTGTTTTGGAAAATTAACTAGTTTCAACAAAACATACAAATTGTCTAGATTTGTATTAGTTATCTTTGCTTAGTAATCCACAAGGCTTTAATAAATTCCTTTGCGTGAGGCAAAGGCTGAAGCTGTGGAACTGCAGGTGCACGTGTCATATTAGAGCTATTGTGTGCCATGCTTCATCTCCTTAATCAGTTCTCTTTGCTACTTGTTGATCATTTGTGCATGCCACTGATTGATTACATGGATTGGGAGGACAACATGATGCCTGACAGTGCTGACTCTGTGTATGGACTAACTTGCATTATACCTCTTGGAGATGAGTTCTCATTGTGGTGGATTCATTTTGTGTCTCATGTTTTTTATATAAGACAAATAACATTTTTGAAAACGTAACTTCGTGTGCCCCACTGGGCCATATAACATATAGGGAATTAATCCAATATCGTGTTAGCCTGCAACTGCGTGAGTATGAGATTAGAGATGGTGACCGAGATCATGATATTATTGCAAATGTGGAGACGAGGCTTATGAACATTTCGCTGTGTTCAAGCAATATACTATTTTTTTAGAAACTAAAAAACAGTTCATACATTTGGACCAAGCCAAGCCCAGTTGTCTGCTGGCGACAGATGTAATTTGGATTTGATGGATTTCAGTCCCTGCATTTCATAGGTGGATATAGAAATTAGGCCAATACATACATTTTTTGAAATGAATAGCCTCGACTTCTTCCCAAGTGAGAAAGTTCTCTAGAACCCAACCAATAAACACTATTTCACTCCTCTCAGTATTTACACAAACATGTAACTTTGCATTGATCCAAGATCTTTTAACAAGGTAAACACAGGGAGGACATGAGCAGGACCTTCTTGCTGTGAAGCACCAGTGCTCACCACTGTGATTGGACGGCCAAATAATCCCACTGGTTCCTGTGTGCCTGTTAGTGATTGCCTCTTCTGTGGCTACTCTGCAGGTGCACCCAGCGTGGGTCTGAGGGTGACACCAGCAGCAGGACTTTTGCACTTACATTGTGGATGATATTTTTTTCATGTATAGTGTGGAACTTAATATGATCTCAATACAGTCTGTTTCATAGGAGTTTTGAGTCACTGTTCCAGCCCCCCATAGTAATAATAAAAATTACTCTCGATCCATGCACATTTTGCTGTATCGGTCAATCCTAAGAAAAAATATGTGTTTGGACATAGTTTAGATAGAAATAATATATAATGAGTTGGACACAATGTTCACCCTGCATGGCTCATGCCACTCGCTATAATTATGTGCGATCAAAGATATTTGAAACATCAGCTGAGAAATTATTCAGAATTGTTCTCATGCCAATTCCCAGCCTACAAATGTAATTTATGAGTACTTATAAAAGCAGTTGGGCAATAAACATTTCCCCATGCAGCTGTGTGCAGCTACATTTTTTATGGCCTGACTTTCTTTTATCTTTATGGGCCTTATAATGCAGAAGCAAATAGCAAGATTGCTCTGTATTAAACATTAAGTATTCAGTTTTGATGTTATAATTTACCGCGTTAATGTAAAAATATTCTATATTTTTAGTAGTTTGTCCTAGCTCCCCTGGTGAAAAAAAGTATATTGAAAGTATACTTAATATTTATTTAGTACATTATGTAACAGTAGTAGTACATACTGTAACCTCTTGCATTTTAGTTAAGGAAACATAAACTAGAAAAGCAACCAACCTAAAGGCACAGTTTTATTCCTTTAAAAAAATCCTGCATCCAGTTGCTGATTCAGATCAGCTTCAAAATTAAATCAGCGTTTCACTGGACCAGTTTTCTGATTTTTTTCAAAATCATCAGATAATTCTCTAGTTTTTGAGCTCACAGACAAGCAAGTGATCAGTTTACCACACGCACGCAAACGATACAAATCAAATACTCAACAGTACATGCACCACAACAGTTCAAGACAGAAAAGGCATCACTGCAGACTTTCTTTCCTCACTGTCAACAAGACCCTGAGATACCTGACTGACCCCTCCATTTGAGAAGCAACCTCTCCTCTGGTGGAGAACCATATGTGGAGGTCATAATTTTTATCCCAGCATCCATTGTACTTTGCTGAAAACTGTTTGTTGGAGGTCCCGACATGAGGAAGCCATCAGGACAACATCAATCTCCCCTAACAGCAGAGACTGAATCCTGACTACTTTTCATTATCATGAAATTTGCTCCAAGACCATAATGTTTTCATACAGACCAAAGGTATTGCTCTTCTAGCTGCTTATTTATCTCAGCTGCTAGTAACAAGCTTGTAGGTGATTTGAAAGACACTCCCAGAAAGAGCTGAATGAAAGTGTTTTGTGAATGACAGTACCTGCGTGACAATGAGTTTCATTCACAAGCCTGATGCACAACATAACAGCTGCAAGAGCTGAGTCGACACATATGTGTGTATACTATTCTGACACAAACAACAAAACAATATATATAGATAATAAAGGAACCATGAAAACGATCACACTCATTTCAGTTCATAAATCAAATGACTTGTTTCTAATACTTTTTGATAACTTTGGTTTATATTGTCCCTGGGTATAATAAATCAGCAAACAGCACAAAAAACACAAAATGCCTTTTTTAAAATTATTTTTAAGTTTTGTTCCAGGTGCAGGTTTTTGCTGATTATTGCTGATTATGATTAATTTCTATGATTAATGTCTAACTAAAGTTTTTCCTGATTAATATATGTGGTTGGGAATAGCGCACTCAGGACCATGCCATGCTAGGCCTAATGACAGCTTTCGTTTTATTAACATCCTCTTCTGTCAGTCACAATCCATGTTGTTTTCATAACCTCAAAAAACAGGCTATTCTGGCTTCTGATCTGTGCAGACGGAACAAAACAAATGTAAGTATGTATTACACAGACACTTCAATACAATTTTACAATTCCATAATGCCAAAAACAGTTTATACAGTAATATATACAGAGGGGTATTTTAAACATACAATTACAGTTCACTCCAGGATTATATCAGAGTATTTCCTAATCATGTGGCTACAATATATTCAAGCAAATATTCAATAAACATCCTTCCAATTCATTTTTTTCTCTTTGGACAAAAGGGCTTGTAACTTATTGAAAAAGATTGAAATGTTAAACCGTTTACATATTATGCTCAAAGAGATGAATGTGTCTAACAAAATTTGTATATATAAATATTGAAAAATAATAAACTGTGTACAAGTACCCTTGTACTTTTGGTGTTTCTTTGAAATTATTAGTATTTATCAAGTTTTATTGCAAATGCTCTAATAATAGTAATGCATCTGTTTTGTATAGTGCTTTTTGGACAATCGTCTTTATTCTTTCACTCCACACGGTGGTGATAAAGTACTACTGTAGCTGTCATGGGGGGCACACTGACAGAAACGAGGTAACCAGTATGTGCTAACGGCCCCTACGATCACACCAGCCATTCACACACCAGATTCCTTCTATGGGTGAAGGTGGGTGACGTTTCTTGCTTAAGGACACAACGGCAATTTGGTCCTTTACATCCGTAACTGCCCCATTGTAGCACCTGGTGTTCCCAGAGGTCTCCCATCACAGTACTAACCAGGCCCTGCCCTGCACAGCTTCAAAGGTCTGTCGGGATCTGCAAATATGGCCACAAGTTTGTCTTTCTGTTTTGAAATTCAAAATTGAGAAGGCGCAGGAGATAAACTAATGCTGGAAATGGAAAAAGTTTTACACGACTGACAATTTACCAAGACCTGTCAAGGAGCTGAAAATAGAAAGCCAATAAAAAATTAAAGCGGCGTCAAACGCCCCTCGTCGCATCGTGTAAAGGAGGTGGCGCAGCCGCGCCATGATTTGCTCCCGCAGCCATAGAACAATGTTTGTGAAATTGTAATGAATATGATCAGTTGGTTTGGCTCCCCATGTAAAACTTTGGCTCAGTCTGAAGGGGGCGCTAAAGAGCCAATGTAATATTTCACACCATCAGGTGACCGAGGCCCAAGAGTAAAACAACCGAGTCAAGTTTAGTACAAATCAGACTTGAATGTGTCCGTGTATACATTCTCCATTGGATGACCATGTGACTTACCAAAATTCTATGAACAATCATTGATGGTACATGTGTTTAGATGATGTAGAGCGATTTTCAACCAAAATCGGTGAAATGGCCGAGGCTGGTTTGTTGTTTTTGCGAGGTGTACATTTTCCATTAACACAGAATGGGGAGTGTTTGACGTCGCCACGGCAACAGGGTAAAAAAAATAAGTCTTGGGTGTCATTGACTTTTTGAATCAAGAGGGCAAAACAGAATTATGTGCAAAATTTAGGCTGAGTTTACACGGAGACAATGTGGCAGTAAAACGGTATAGTTGGATGTCGGTTTCTACCAACCGTTCATACGAAGACTGTGTT